TGTGAGGGTGAACAGGGGACCCTGGGCTCAGAGACAGCAAGGTAGGCTCTGGGCCTGGGCGCTGGGCAGGGGTGGCCACTCAGGGGACTGGGGCTCCTCCTCCCCAGGTCTGACGGCGGGTGCCAGAAAATTGACACAACCTTCACCAAGGGTGCTGTAGGGGGCAGTTCAGCAACCCAGGTAAGGTGGGGCGGCAGGCAGGGCTGTGGGGTGGGGGCCCTGGGGGTTGTGCGGGCTGCTGGGTTGGCACCTGGGGCCAGGGCATGAGGGGTGCCACGCTGGGGGGACGTGCCCTGGGCCTGAGGTCACTGCTCTCGCTCCTCCAGCCATGGCCCTGACTGACATCCGAGTGGCCTTCTCCGACTACCAGCACTTTGCCTTGCAGTACTTGGAGACGCGGAAAGGGGGCCTGCAGAACCAGTGACTGCAACTCTACCGGCTGCGGGCTGCGGGGGCGGGGAGGCCCAGACACCCCCAGCTTCGGGTCTGGAATGTCGCCCCTGTGCCTGCACCAGCGCCTTCTCACGGGGAAAGCGGAACCGCTGGCTCCCGGTGTCTGTGGCGGCGGGTCCCGGCCCCTCCCCGCCCCTCTCACCCCTCCCTGCCCCTCTCGCCCTCTCTTCGCCCCTCCAACCCCTTCCCTTTAGCTCACCCACCCTCCCCATCTTCAGCTCGAGCGCCGGAGCTGTTTCCCGAAGGCGTCCAGAAGATGCAGCAACTGGCGCCCTAAGTGGGCCTGAGCCCCAGCCAGAGTGTCCCGCTGCCGAAGTTGGGTGAGCGGTGCCCGCAGGCCTGCTGGGAGGGCCAGGCCCCGGGTCACACCCCTGCTGGGAGGGCCAGGCCCTAGTCACTCCACTGATCTCAGATTCGGGACAGAAGTGCTGGGGGCAGACCCAGCCTGTCCGGGTCGGGGGAGGGTGAGACGTTGCCCAGGGCAGTGTTCCCAGGAGGAGATCGCGTTGTGGGAGGTCGGGGGCCTCCGTCCCAAGGAACGGGGCACCAGGGGGGCGCCTCAGGCCCACTCTCTCTGCAGACCAGTGTGCGGGCGCGCTCTCCCGGGTGGGTAGACCACGGCCACGTGGAGCCGCGGACCATGGGTCCTCCTAGGGTCGTGGGCTGCACCGTGGGACCCTCTACCTTCCGGACAGCTGGGGGCGAGAGCGGGGGTGATGGGGCACCCGGGCGGATCCGAGCGGCAGCAGCCTGGGAAACCGCGGGGCTGCGCGTCGGAAGGGGCGGAGTCAGGGGACGCCCCCCACCTGCTCCTTGTTTTGCGGTGAGGGGTCCAGCCCCTGAGTGCCTGCAGGGGTCAGCTGCTCCGTGCGCCCAGCCCTCCCCAAAGAGCCCCTCTCTCCACACCCTGGTCCCAAGTGCAATAAACGCCCTGAGTGCCTGTGGCGCTGTGCGTTTCTTCGAGGGAGGGAGGGGTGGCGGGGGCGGCCAGGTACATGGGCGCCCTGGGAGAGGGGCCGGGTCACCCCCTGTTGCCCGTCTGGGCAGGCGTTGGCCCGGGAGGGACCGAGCCTCGGCTCCGCGGCAGGGAGGTTCCTCAGAGCGGGCCCCAGCCCCAGCTCTGGGACTTTTCTACCTCTGCACGGACCCAGACCCCCAGACTGGGGGCGCCGGGAGGGCGGGACACGGACACCACGCAGCGCGCGCCCCAGGCTCCAGCGGACACCGCCGCGGGAGGTGGCCTTCAGGGTCGTCCCAAGCGGCCGCCCCAGTCAGTGTCAGGATCCCCAGGCGCCCCTCCGGGTCCCCCAGTTCTCCAGTCCCTGACTCCGGGCTCCAGGCCCCACCCCAGAGGCCTGGCTGTTCCGGAGACCAACGAAGCACCCCCAACCCTGACCCAGGGCCTGCCGGCGGAGGGTGGAGGGCGAGGAGGACAGGAGGCGCTGCATAAAACTCTGCCCTGCCTTGTGTCTATGTAGGACACTGTTGTCTTTTACAGATAAGTCTTGAAGAATTTGAAGGAAAATAGCCTACTCGCTGTAATGTACCTAGTTCAGCAAAATAATAATAAAAATAATAATAATACTGGTTGCAAATGTGTCAACTTTTTTTTTTTTTTTTTTTGACTGAGTTTTTCTTTTGAGACAGAGTCTTGCTCTGTTGCCCAGGCTGGAGTGCAGTGGCCAGATCTCAGCTCACTGCAAGCTCTGACTCCCGGGTTTACGCCATTCTCCTGCCTCAGCCTCCAGAGTAGCTGGGACTACAGGCATGCATCACTATGCCTGGCTAATGTTTTCTTTTTAGAGATGGGTCTTGCTGTCTTGCCCAGGCTGGCCTTGAACTCCTGGCCTTAAGCAATCCTCTCACTCCAGCCTCCCAAAGCACTGGGATTACAGGCATGAGCCACCGGGCCTGGCCTCTTCTGGCTTCTGATAGCAGCCTGTAATCCTTGGCCTGGGGCTGCATTGCTCCAGTTCCTCCCTCCATACCACACTGCCTTCTTTTCTGTCTCAAGGCTTCCTCTGCCTCAATTTTATAAGGCCCTTGAGATGGCACTGAGGGCCTCCCTGGGTAATCCAGGATAATCGCCCCATCTCAAGGACACATCTGCAAAGACCCCTTTCTTTTCTTTCCTTTTTTTTTGGCGGGGGGAGGGGGACAGGATCTCACTCTGTTGCCCAGGCTGGAATGCAGTGCCCAGCCTTTTCCATAAATAATAGTAGTCACAGGTCCCAAGGATTAGGGCCTGATACCTGGGGCCTACTACAGCATCTCAGAGTTCACATGGCAAAGGAGAGGCCTCCCAATCCTCTCCGAATCTGCCCCACCCCAGTCATCTTGGGGATGAATCTCCCTGTTCCTCTCTTCCCAAATGCCGGGGCCATCCTTGATCGTTCTTTGCCTCCTCCTCTCTCCACCTCCACTTGGAGCTCATGGTCCACCCCTCTCCCACACCTCTGCAGCCCCCCGTCCTCTCTCCTCACAGCACAGAATACGGACTTCACACACATAAGTCAGACGTGCCACTTCCCATCCACCCCTGCTTAAATCTCCAACAGCCGCCACTCCCCCTTCATTCATTCATTCACAATGTTTATTCAGTGTCTGTACGTGCCAGGCATTGTGTAGGTGCTGAAAAGACAGATACACTGGCAGTAAAATAGACAGAAATCCCTGTCCTCATGGACTTCCTGGGGTGATGGACAATAGGCAGGATAAATAAGTGTACTGGTCACTTACTGCAGAGTGACAGGTTACCCCAAATGCAGCTGCTTAACCCAGCAGGAGTGCATTATCTCCCAGTGTCAGCAGGGCAAGACTCTGGGCCTCTGGCACAAAGTTTCAGGAGGCTGTGGTCAAGCTGCCGGCTGATGATGTGGTCTCATAGTAAGGCTCAGCTGGGGCATCAGCTTCTCAGCTCCCTTGCTGGCCATCGGCATCCACTTAGGGCTGCCTCTTGTCACACCCAGCAATTCAAGAGCAATTTTGTCCTATTCTGGTTGCCAGAAGCAAGTTGTTAATTGAGTCCAGCCCAAGGCGAGGGGAGTGCAGAAAGGTCTAAACCCAGGAGGGTATAACAGGGGGCCAACTGCCAGAATAAAGCAAGCCAAAGTGTACTTTCTACAGTGAGAAGGGTGAAAAATAAGAAAATGACAGGAGAGCGGGACGTGAGAGCTGGGCAGCGTGCTGAAATGTCAGAACAACACCAGGGAAGGTCTCGCTGAAGTGACTTTTGAGTAAAGACCCGAAGGAAGCATGTGAATCTGGGGAAAGGGTGTGCCAGGCAGAAACAGCAGCATGTGCAGAGGCCCAGGGTGCAGGAGCCAGGACTGGGAGTGAACTGGGAGGCAGGAGGAAGTGAGGCAGGCTTGCTGTGGGAGCACTCGCATACAGAAGCATAGCCTACAACGCCACTGACCCTCCCCACAGCACCATGCTGCCAACCTGGCCTTCTTGCCAAGCCTTGAACAGAACTGTTGTTTATGTGGCCAGGCCTCTGCGTGGGATCTCCCTGTCCCCGGTGGGAGCCATCCTCTTCCTCCTGTCCTCATAGCACCCGCTGCAGCTTCTTCTGGCGCTTGGCCCTGCCTGAGAGTGTGGTGTCTCTCCTATTGGATCCTATAAGCTCCAGGGAGTCAGAGACCTTGTCTGTCGATTGATGTCCAGGCCTAGGACAACAGGCACGTAGGAGGAGCTCGAGTAATACCATGGGCAGGACAGAGAGCACAGAAGTCTTCTTCCCTGGGGATCGCTCTGTACTGTGACTTCTTTTTTCGTTTGTTTGAGACGGAGTCTCACTCTGTTGCCCAGGCTGGAGTGCAGTGGCGCGATCTCGGCTCACTGCAACCGCCACTTCCCTGGTTCAAGCAATTCCTCTGCCTCACAGGCGTGCACCACCACACCCGGCTAATTTTTATGTGTTTTTAGTAGAGAGGGGGTTTCACCATGTTGGCCAGACTGGTCTCGAACTCCTGAAGTCTGGCAATCTGCTCGCCTTGGCCTCCCAAAGTGCTGGGATTACAGGTGTGAGTCACCTTGCCGGGCCAACCATAACTTCTCACAGTTAGGGTTAGGAAGCTTCCCGTTGGTGTGTGAAGACGATGGGAGGGCGGGGCTCCAGGATGTGCCCGCAGCGCCACGGAGGGAACCCGGACTCGGCTGGACGCGGAGCCGGGGCGGTGGCGGGAGGGGGCGAGGTGCGAGTGGGGCTGCTCGCGGGCGCGAGGGCCAGAGCCCAGGATCCCGCCGCGAAACCCATGCCCGGCGAGGTCAGCGCTAGGGGCAGGGCCTCTGGATCCCTGACCGAGGACGCCCTGCTCCGGCCCGCCCCGCGCACTAAACCGGGCCTCTAGTCGCCTGAAGCCCGCGCGGGTACCGGGTCCTCCGGGCCCGGCCTGTGCCTTTAGCTCCGCCCCTAACCCAACCCCCTAACCCCGCCTCCCCCTAAAGACCCCGCCCCCAGTCAGACTCCGCCCCGCGCAAGCTCCCTAAGCCCGCGACTGTCCTGCACCCGGCTCCGGAAGCCGTTCTTCCGCGCAGGAGCCCTGGGCCCGTACAGCCCCGCCCCTCCCGGCGCCCAAGCCCCGCCCCGCCGGGTTCCCGCTCGCCGGGCGCCATGGATCCGCTGTCACCGCCGCTCTGCACGCTGCCACCGGGCCCCGAGCCGCCCCGCTTCGTGTGCTACTGCGAAGGGGAGGGAAGCGGGGAGGGGGACCGCGGCGGCTTCAACCTCTAGTGAGTGGGGGGTCCGTGGGGAGGTAGGGGTGCGGGGAGCTCCGCGGGCGGCCCTGCCTGACAGGCCCTCTCCCCCAGCGTGACCGACGCCGCGGAGCTTTGGAGCACCTGCTTCACGCCGGACAGCCTGGCAGCCCTCGTGGGTAACTGGGCGGGTCTGGGAGCCGCCACACCCCTCCCTGCAGTCCAGATCGTGTATGGGGTTCCAGATCGTGTTTGGGGTGACCGACATCTGGGATTCCCCAGAAGGCTCTGACACCCTCTGCCCGCCCTGTAGCTGTAGTCCTCACATTGGCTAGGGGTCCCAAGTGGCTCTGGGGTCGGGCAGGTTTCGGGTGCTCCCAGTGGATCTCGGGTTCCAGGCAGCTGGTGACAAGTACCTGTGCTCTCTAGAAAGCCCGTTTTGGTCTGAGTGCGGCTGAGGACATCACCCCCCGGTTCAGGTGAGACCCAAGCAGGGAGGAAGTTGGGTGGGGAGGAGGAGGGTCTGTCACAGCTCTCAGCACCTCTCCTCTTCCAGGGCAGCCTGTGAGCAGCAAGCTGTGGCTCTGACCCTGCAGGAGGACAGAGCATCCCTGACCCTTTCAGGGGGCCCCTCGGCACTGGCCTTTGACCTCTCCAAGGTACCAGGCCCAGAGGCAGCCTCCAGACTGCAGGCGCTGACACTGGGCCTGGCAAAACGTGTGTGGAGCCTGGAGCGGCGACTGGCAGGTAGGATTGGGGGTGGGCACCTCATACCTTCACTGGGGTCCCCTGCTCTTGCCCCCACTCCTGGCACTCAGTGGGGTTCCCATGGGCTTTCCTCCCCAGCTGCAGAAGAGACAGCTGCCAGCCCCAGGAAGAGTCCCCGGCCTGCAGGGCCTCAGCTCTTCTTACCAGGTAAGGCATGTACGCCTGTGACTCAAGTAAGGCTGTGCGCTTTAATCTGGAACTCAGTTTCCCCTGAACAAGCCTCATGCTCCAGAGAGAGTGCCTGTCTATTCGGAAAAGGTTGTGGCTGGGATGCTGCCAGGTTCAGGAGCCTCCTCATCCTGTTTTCCCCCAGACCCAGATACCCAGAGAGGTGGCCCTGGACCTGGGGTCAGGAGGCGGTGTCCAGGAGAGTCGCTCATCAACCCTGGGTTCAAGAGGTACCCGCCCACCGGCCCCTTCCTGCACCTGGGGTCCAACCCTGGATCCCACCCCTTTCTCCACACCATAGTGCCATAGTGACACCCTTCTTCCTTCTCAGTAAGAAACCAGCTGGTGGCGTGGACTTTGATGAGACCTGAAGGTGCAGCACAAGTGTGGCCCCACGGGGAGTCTGCCTGTGAGGGGACAGGCAGTCTTCGAGGCCCTCATCAGAGACCCCCCACCACCACCTCCACCTGGCTGTCCTGGGCCAGGACTAAGGCAGTTCCTCAAGTTCCTTTCCTGTCAAATAAACGGCTCCCTCTGTTGGAGGCTGTGGTGGGGCTCTGACTCCTGGCACTGGCCTGGGAAGGGATCAGGGATGCCCCTGGGCCTGCACTCTGGGTGTGGGGCCACAGGATGTGAACAGATGCTGCAGCATCTCAGTTCCCTGGAGACTTCCTTGCTGGGCCGGAGGGAGGTGAGCACTCTCAGACCGTCCAGCTATTCCAGCCCTGCCAGCCCAGGAGCTGAGAGGGGCCCAGCCAGGCAGGGCCAGGGCTCCCCAAGGCTTAGAACTTTGTTCCCACCCTCTCAGGCCGCACCCAGGCAGGGCACGGAGCCCCGCAGGAGGATGCACACAGGAGAAGGCCTGTGCAGACCCTGAGATGCTATGGAAGTGCCCTGCGGGGAGGGGAGTGCCTGCCCCCGGACAGGACAGGATTGAGGAATGTACCAGCCCCCATCCACCTGGGGCACCCCGCCCCACCCCGGCCTGACTGGTTTGGGAGCCCAATCCAGTCCTGGAGATCCCTGAGGCCACCGGTTGCAGGAGACCTGGAGTTTCTTAACATGGAGGATGGGACCCGCCCGACCCCGGCTCTACTGCCCCTGTGGTTCTGGGCTCACAGGCTGAGCGTCCCATCCTGGGGTTTGGGGATGGGAAGTGATCACGAGACTCCTCAGATGTCACGACACCCTCACTGCTGACAAAGATGCCTTTATTGGGCGACAGATGCGGGGTGGGGCGCTAGCGGGGGTGCACGGCGGGCCGATAGGCCGCCAGGATCTCGGCGCTGTGCGGACATGTGTATTTGAACTCCTTCTCCTGCAGCGCGCTGTCCAGGTAGCGGCGGACGCCACGCAGCCCCGCGGGGATGGGCGCCTGGCGGAAGTGCGCGCACACCGTCTGCGGGCAGGATCGCGGGGCTCGGTCAGGACCTGCCGTCCCCCAGCGCGCCGGGATTGCCCGCCCGCCCTCCCTCCGCGCTCACGTCGACGATGTGCAGCTTGGGCAGTAGGCTGCAGTCGGCCAGCGTGAGCCGGTCGCCGTCCAGGAAGCGGCGGCGGGACTCGCGCAGCTGCGGCTCCAGCGCCAGCTCGTGCTCCAGGGGCGCGCGCAGGTAGCTGTCCAGCCTGGCGAGGGCGCGCAGCAGCTGCTGGTACAGGGCTAGGGGCGGGCGGCGAGGTGAGGACCCGGCCCAGGATGCCCTCCCGCCTGGGCATCCAACCCCCTGACCCCGCTTCACCTTCGTCCTGCGCGGGCACCGGGTTCTTGATGAACGCGGAGAACTTGTGGAAAACATCGTTGCCAGCGGTGTTGGACTCCCTGTAACGAGGCGCCAGGCTGGGGAAGCTGCGGGATGAGGGGGTGAGAGACTCCATCAGAATGGGGGCAGCCCCGTCCCGGCCCCACAGTACCCCACAGCGCCTTCCTGGGCTCTGTCCTGTGCGCGTCCTCCCTGGGCGCCCCCTCTTCCCCTCCCACTCTGCTCAGGCTCTCACTCGGGCGGCCCCAGCGTCTCCTCCAGAAAGTCCTCGATCTGCAGCGTGTCTGTCTTGGCATCGCTGTCATAAAGCAGGATGGGCAGCTGCGAGCCGGGGGCGAAGTCCTTCAGCACGTCCGGGGACCTGTGGGCAGCAGCAGGGTGGGAGGAGGCCGGCCCACCAGTGTGTGAGGCCAGGCAGGGGCCCCCAGGGTGGCGCCTCACCTGCGCGTGTCCACCGTGGTAAGGGTGAAGGGTACGCCCTTGAGGAGCAGGACCATGAAGAGCCGCTGGCAGGAGGGGCAGTGACCTACACTCTCCCCGTCCTCACTCGCCTGGGTGGGTGGAGCGGCGGGCAGTGGGGGGGGAGGTCAGGGCTGGGAGCAGACCCAGGCATCCTGCCACCAGGCTGGGTGGGCCCCGCCTCCCACTGCCAGCGGGACTGGAGGGACGCCAGAGCTCCAGCTTGGTCGGCGCGACTTCCAAGTACCCAGTAAGGGCCCTCGACTTGGTCCCCAGGACATGGGGAGGGACGCAGAGCTGCTGGCAGCCTTGAGGCCTGGAGCGGGCTTGGCCGCTGGAATCCTATCAGAGCCTGGACAGGCCAGGCCCCTGGGCTCAGTCCCCAAAAGCTGGTTGCAGGGGTGGGGTGGGCCCCACAAGCTGTTTTGTGAGTGATTCACACACGAGACGGCGCTGTGGCCAGCAGCACACCAGCCCCCACACGCCAGTCCCCGACCTGAGAGCTGATGGGGCTGCCTGGCCCAGCACCCCCAATCCTGGAACACTGACCTTAAGCTCCACCGCTGGCAGCCTGGTTGGTACCTCCCCACCAAGGGGCTCTCCTCCGGAAGACTGGGCTGGGCCCAGGAGCCAAGGCTGGGAGCAGGACCAGGGCCACTGGACCCCTCTCTGGGTGACTTTCTGGGTCCTACTTTACTCAGCCTCTGTAGGGCTGCCCGACTCCCCTTAGCCACCCACAGGAAGGGGCTCAGACATTACTGGGACCATCCCACAGCCTGCCCCAGAAAGTAAAGCCAGAAGAGCACCCCCTCCCAGACACCCTCCCTGCAGCTCAGTCTGCCCTGCACCTTGACAAACAGCTGGAGCTTGGTCTCCGCCATGGTGGGAGCTGCGCGGTCAGGCCCGGGTGGGGACCTGGGTCGCTCTTTAAGTCTCCCTGTGTGCCCCGCCCTCCCTGGCCAAGGGGCCCGCCCCATGGAGCCACCTAGGCGGGCAGATGAAGCTGCCCAGCGTGCAGAGCCGGCTGCCTGAGCAACGCCAGCCTGACCCCGGGGTATCTGAGCCTGAGGGTGTGACCTCAGGGTGGGGGAATGGTGTGGGGGGCTGCCTTGGACTTGAGTCTGGTGCCCACAGAGATCCACCCACCCGGTGCGGAGTGTGCTGGCAGCCAGCGTGGTGGGTGGAGACCAGGGGGTGGGGCACAGGGAGAACCTACAGGCCAGAAGGGTGCAGGGAGTGTCACCTGGGGAGGGGGTGGCTCTGGGTCCGGACCACCTCCACCGTGATCCCAGCTCAGAACCTGCCCTATGGCTCTCCCTTCGGCAAATACCCCTTGTCAGGGCTCCCAGCCCAGAAAACCAGTGGGTGTGGGTGAGCAGGAGAAATGGTGCCCAGCCTAGCTTCAGTTCCCCATCTGCAGCACCAGAGCATTGCAAGGGTGGTAGGCCCACCTGGGGGAGCCGCCCCTTCCCAGCTACCAAGCAGTCAGGCAGGGCCCTCCCCGCTCAGGGCGGGGCTCAAATTCCAGACCTGCCCGCAACAGGGCGGGGAGGCCAGCCTGGCTTTGGTGTTTGGCCTGCAGTGCAGGTCTCCACCCCACCTCCCATCCCTCCCACTGGCGCTCAGCACAGGTTTCTTACCCCCACCCCTTAACCTTTAAAAAGAAGCAGCAGGAGGCCGGGCGCGGTGGCTCAAGCCTGTAATCCCAGCACTTTGGGAGGCGGAGACGGGTGGATCACGAGGTCAGGAGATCGAGACCATCCTGGCTAACACGGTGAAACCCCGTCTCTACTAAATATTACAAAAAACTAGCCGGGCGAGGTGGCGGGTGCCTGTAGTCCCAGCTACTCAGGAGGCTGAGGCAGGAGAATGGCGTGAACCCGGGAGGCGGAGCTTGCAGTGAGCCGAGATCTGGCCACTGCACTCCAGCCTGGGCGACAGAGCAAGACTCCGTCTCAAAAAAAAAAAAAAAAAAAAAGAAGCAGCAGGAGCGGGGTAGAAGCCACAGCCTGCGTGGCTGGGAGAAAGCGGCCAGGGGACAAAGCGGCCAGGGGACGGTGCTGGTCCACAGGTGTGAGCCTGCTCTGAGCTTCCTGGCGTGATTGGAACCCACAGTTCAGTCTGGCCCTTTGGGCTCGCCAACTGCGCCTACCTCCCACCTGGGCCCTGATGCTTTGGGGGGCATCCCCAGGGAGGTACACCGAGGGGAGACTCCACCCAGGGACCCGGGGTTCCCACAGGACTGGCCTGGCCACACCTCCCCCAGGCGGTGTGGTGCCTCACGAGCCTGGACAGGGTGGCTGAGGTGGCACTGCTCGCCTGCTCACCTCCCCAGGGCCTTGGCATAGGCCCCACGCCCGTCCCCAGCGGACTGCACTCCAGTGCTGCCCCAGCCAGCCCAGGCTGACACTTCTCTGGATACCACGCCAGTCAGGGCTCCTGGACACACGGAGCCTTGGAAATACTATGTGTCTCCCCTATCCTTTGGTGTCCTGAGCCTCAGTTTCCCTCCATCCTGCCTCCACCTTGATTCCAAGACCTAGTATTTTGGCTTTCTCCACACTGTGGTTTTAGCTCCGTTCGCTGGTTTCCCACATTCCTGGCAGGCAAATGGCCAACCACAGAGGAGCCCCAGGCCCCCAGCCCAGCTCTGCTGCCTGGGCATCCCGTGTCTTCAACACTGACAGACACACCTTCACAAACCCACAGGAGAAACAACGGCGCGGACAGAGGCTGTGAACCAGTGGCTCGGAAGGAGAAAGAAAACGCCAAGATACAGGAAGACCGTTCACCTCACGCCCGTCTCAAGAAACAAACCAAACAAGACTTGGTTCATCGCCTCAGCGGCCCCACTGCGTTCTGTGGGCATGGGCCGTGGACTGTGGAGCGGCGGTGGCCATCCAACACTCCTCTGTGCCCACCTGGGAATCAGCCCAGTGGCTTCTTTATTTTTTGATTTAATCAGTTCATTTATTTACTAGAAACAGGGTCCTGTCATGTTGCCCAGGCTGGTCTCTACCTCTTGGGCTCAAGAGACCCGCCTGCGTTGGCCTCCCACAGTGCTGAAGCTACAGGCATGAACCACCACGCCCGGCTGATTTCTCTGTGAAGGGCAAGTGAGAGCTGGCTGCCCCACTGTGTGGCATGGCTCCATGGCACGGCCACAGCCGTCTATGGGAGACTGCAGTTGTGTCCAGGAAGAAGGATGGAAAAGGTGACTCCATGCGTGCCCACTGCAGGGAAGGCCTGAGATTAGGTAAATGGCCTGGCTTGTGTGCCCTTACATTTAAATTCTTAGGCTGGAGTCCTAACCCCTAGTGCCTCAGAATGTGACTTTATGTGGGCCGGGCACGGTGACTTATGCCTATAATCTCAGCACTTTGGGAGACCGAGGGCAGGAGTGGATCACCTGAGGTCAGGAGTTCGAGACCGGCCTGACCAATATGGTGAAACCCGTCTCTACTAAAAGTACAAAAATTAACCCAGCATAGTGGCAGGCACGTGTAATCCCAGCTACTTGGGAGGCTGAGGCAGGAGAATTGTTTGAACCTGGGAGACGGAGTTGCAGTGAGCAGAGATAGTGCCACTGCACTCCAGCCTGGGCACCAGAGCAAGACACCGTCTTGGAGAAAAAAAAAAAAAAAAGAATGTAACCTTATGTGGAAACAGGGTCTTTTAAAAATTTTTTTGAGACAGAGTCTCACTCTGTTGCCCAGGCTGGAGTACAGTGGTGCAATCTCGGCTCACTGCAACTTCTGCCTCCTGGGTTCAAGCAATTCTCCTTCCTCAGACTCTGGAGTAACTGGGATGACAGGTGCACGTCACCACGCCCAGCTTCTTTTTTTCTTATATTTTTAGTAGAGACAGGATTTCGCCATGTTGGTCAGGCTGGTCTCGAACTCCTGACCTCAGGAGATCTGCCTGCCTCAACCTCCCAAAGTGCTGGGATTACAGGTGTGAGCCACCGCACCCGGCTGAAATAGGGTCTTTGTAGAAGTTACCAAGTTAAAATGTGGTGAGTAGGATGTGCCCTAATCCAATATGACTGATGTCAGCATAGAAAGGTGAGTTTGGACACAAGACACACAGGGAGGGCCACGTGAAGGTGCAGGTGGAAATCGGGGTGGCACATCTGCAAGCCCAAGAGCCACGCGGATGCTCCTCAAGACCCTCGGGAGGAAGCAGCCCTGCCCGAGCCTCGGTCTCCGTGTCTGGCCTCCCGACTGCTAGGCAGTGAGCTTCTGTTGTTTTTGTTGTTGTTTTAACATGGAGTCTCACTGTCACCCAGGCTGGAGTGCAGTGGCACAATCTCGGCTCACTGCAACCTGTGCCGCCCTGGCTCAAATGACTCTCCTGCTCCAGCCTCCTGAGTAGCTGGGATTACAGGCACTCACCACCACACCCGGCTAATTTTTGTATTTTTAGTAGAGACGGGGTTTCACCACGTTGGCCAGGCTGGTCTCAAACTCCTGACTTCAAGTGATCCGCCCGCCTCGGCTTCCCAAAGTCAGTTTCTGATGTTATGAACCCCTCACTTTGTGTTCCTTTGCATGGCAACACTAGCAAGCTAATAAATAAAGTGGGGAAAAGCCAGGAAATTGAAGAAAATCAGCATTAGGATCTGCCATTCTGAGTCTCTGCTTGTACGGAGCTGAAAAAAGACGCGAGGAGCCATCTGTGGGATGACCCTTGACAGGCAGAAAGAGACGTTCGATCTTGCTTCCTGTCCGTCCACACTGTTTACATTTTCTCCCACATTTTTGTAATACCACATTTTCTACCACAATTTCGTAATGTTTTGAAGGAAGAACAGCATCACAGCCACTAACCTTAACTAGATCCTGGTCCCCCAGGCCATGGGGTTATCCGGAAATCTCCCGTCCCCTGCAGCCCCTGCCCCTGGTTCATGGAGCCACCGTTAGAGGGGCCCAAGCTGAGGTCCTGGGGCTGCTGCTCTGGGACTGACTGGTGGGTTAGAACTCTGTCCTTCCCCAACACCCCTCCCTGTAGGCCCCTTCCAAAGGGCTTTGTTGTTGTTGTTGTTGTTGTTGTTTGAAACAGGGTTTCACTCTGTCATCCAGGCTCGAGTGCAATGGCACAGTCATAGCTCACTGTAGCCTCCACCTCCTGGGCTCCAGTGATCCTCCTCGGCCTGCACATGGCCACACCCCAGTGACATTTGAGCAGCTCTGTTCTGAAGGGAGACACACACCTGTTCAGGGAGCCAGAGGGCTGGGGGCATTGGGTATTGGTGGAAACTTATGCAGAGATTTCTCTGTTCTGTGCATGGAGAGGGCCTAGAGGCAGTGTGACCTCGGGAGCAGTGTGCAGACCAGAACTCAGATTCTAGTTCCAAAGCCCATCTTCCCTAAAAGGAACCAGGGTTCTGCTATGGGCTGAATGTGTCCTCCCCAAAATCTGTTTGTTGAAACACTGGCCCCTAGGCCAGGCACGGTGGCTCATGCCTGTCATCTCAGCATTTTGGGAGGCCGAGGCGGGTGGATCACCTGAGGTTGGGAGTTCCAGACCAGCCCAACCAACATGGAGAAACCCTGTCTCTACTAAAAATACAAAATTAGCCGGGCCTGGTGGTACACACCTGTAATCCCAGCTACTTGGGAGGCTAAGGCAGGACAATCGCTTGAACCTGGGAGGCGGAGATTGCAGTGAGCTGAGATCGCTCCATTGCCCTCCAGCCTAAGTGACAGAGCAAGACTCTCAGAAAAAAAAAAAAGGAAGGGAGGGAGGGAAGGGAGCAAGACTCTCAGAAAAAAAGGAAGGGAGGGAGGGAAGGAAGAAGGAAGGAAGGGAGGGAAGGGAGGGAGGGAGGGAGGGAGGGAAGGAAGGAACCCTGGCTCCTGCAAGGTGATGGTATTAAGAAGTGGGGTCGGGCCGGGCGCAGTGGCTCATGCCTGTAATCCCAGCACTTTGGGAGGCCAAGGTGGGCGGATCACAAGGTCACGAGATCGAGAACATCCTAACACGGTGAAACCCTATCTTTACTAAAAATACAAAAAATTAGCCGGGCGTAGTGGCGGGCGCCTGCAGTCCCAGCTACTTGGGAGGCTGAGGCAGGAGAACGGCGTGAACCCAGGAGGCAGAGCTTGCAGTGAGCCGAGACTGTGCCACTGCACC